CTGAGATTCTCAGGTTTCACCTATACCCCCTTTCATTTTGCCTTTACAGTCCCTTTAAACTAATAAATATACAACCCTGTCTGAAGGTGGATGGACCTGCACCTCTACCTACCCCTGGTATCCAGGAGGAGGAAGCAGGACCAGCAGATATGGAATCCAGGCTGTCTAGAGCTAGGGGAGTTTTTTTTAAACAATTAGTATTTTTGGTCATTTAAAGAAAAACAAATTTTAAATGTTTTTTTTTCTATAAATTTTATCTCATTTTTTCTGTTATTGGGGGGATTGGGAAGGGGGGACGTCCCCCTCTCTGGAAAACTGGGGGACATCCCCTTCCCCCCTGGAAATATTAGGACCGCAAGAAGAGAGAGGAGCACCTTCTAGTCCTGTAATTTAAATTTTAATAATAGATATTTTAAATATTTCAATTATTCTTCCCCCTCCCCCTGGAAAATAACCTGAGCGGTCCCTGGCCCATATGAAGAAAAATCCTTTTTTGAGTTATAATTTTTAATCTGTACAGGAGTATGTTGGATGAGAATGTTGGGACTGTTGGTCAGGTGACAAGTCATGATACACCTACTAATATACAGGACAGGTATATTTATTCATGTACAAAGGGACTGTTAACTTTTCAAAAATATATGTGGCGAGTTTTCAAATAGAGTTTATACTAATTATAACAGAAATACGAAGGTTCCTTTACCTGAGTAACAAATAAGGAAGATATCGTCGTTTTTTAAGTGATCAATTATGTCAATATCCTCTCTTGTTTCTGCCGCTGAAATCCGTAAGTCGCTTAGAGACACCGCAATATATCACTAAGTTCGCTCAGATAAAGTTTTAAGGGTTACTGTTGAGAATCTGGAGTATCATAATTGGGTCCTTTAAAATTATGTGGGAAATCCGTAATGTCGTCTTCACTATTTTAAATGGTAATTTCTTGAGAGAAATTGACGATGTTTATTTGAGGGTTGAACGGGCTCGACGGATGATGCAACAACGGGTTGAAGCTAGAGAGAGAGAGGAGGAGGAGAAGGAGAAGCAGAAGGAGCTGGAGAGAAGGGACTTAGGGAAGAACTTGCAGGAGATGCAGCGAAAAAAGGAGCAGGACTTGTTGAAGGAGCAGGCCAAGGAGAGGAGAAAGGAGAAGGAGGAGACAAGGTTGGCCAAGGAGAAAGTTCAGGCTCAGATTGAACAAGATCGGGCGGACAGAGCGGCAAGGTAAAAAATATATCTAATTTTTTGTTTGATTTCAGTTTGGATTTCTGTCTTAATTTTTTAGGGGGCATACCCCATGAAAACCAACGATTTTACTGATCTAGGGGGCCTGAGCCCCATATCCCCTGTATACTCTTTTGAGTGCTTCCATCAATGTCAATGTTTGACGTTGGTATCAATATTCGATTCTTAATTTAAGATTTGCGTCGGAAAAGGCGGTTGAAGATGAGAAGCGGAAAGAGAAAGAAAAGAAAGCTTTGGCGGAGAAAGCAGCTGAAGCGGATAGAGCAGCTGCCTCTAGAAGGTTGGTGAACTTAGAGTTGTTTTAACAAAAAAATTATTAATTGCTTTTTATGGCATGCATTGATTTGTTGATTTGATCTAATCAATTGGTTGCTAAAGGAACGATTAATTGATTTAGTTCGATATCTCGGATCCAGTTTCGGCTTCCAGATGGAGGCAGTCAAACTCATCAGTTCCCCTCCGACTCTCCTCTAGGTAACATTCAACTTCATAAACATATCAGTTCCCCTCCGACTCTGCTCCATGTAACATTCAACTTCAATCAAAAGTAAGGGTTTTAAATGTTGGATTTTCCTCCTGGAGCGTATTATAGCGCTCATGAACCTGTCAGCAGTAATATATGCTTATTTGTGATCTTAAGTAAAAAATTTAAATATTATGTTTTTTTTTCATTTTTCATTTTGTCCCTAAATCTTCAAAAATCATCTTCCATCGATTTTAAAATACTTACCTTGTTTGTTTCAGGAGATGTTTATGCTTATGTGAGTTCTGATCTTGGAACCGGTTTCTCCAAGTTTTCTCTCTCAACAACATTTCCTAAGTACAAAATAATATTGATCAATTGATCAATCAATCTGAGATGGAACGCACTGTGGAATCCACAAATCGCCTTTAGATGATGCCTCACTTAAGACTGTTTAGCAACTACTTAAATTCCTCCTATTGCAATTGGTTGATTTTACGAATTGTTGCATGGGTAGCTTAATGATGTCTTTAATTTAAGAAGTTTAAACTTTATATAAAACTTGGATGTCGTTGGGAAATCCCAACATATTTGATTCGATTCGATGATTCGATTCGATTTGATTTGATTTGATTTGATTTGATTTGATTTGATTTGATTTGATTTTTTAAAATTCTAAAAATATGTCTATATCTATTTTCCAGGAAGGAGTTAGATTTAGAGTCTAAGGACGCGAGCTTGAAGGATCTTCAGCTAGCTCCCACAGCAACTATTCTAGTCCTGCCTCAGGTATCATTATTATTCAGCTAGCTCCCACAGCAACTATTCTAGTCCTGCCTCAGGTATCATTATTATTCAGCTAGCTCCCACAGCAACTATTCTAGTCCTACCTCAGGTATTATTATTATTCATGTTGTAATTAAAATGTCGTTTGCTTTTATTTCTCTCTGAAATATTTTGTGTTGGCGTGGTGAATTATAAAGTCATTTTTTTAAAGTAACTTTTATTGTTTAAAACGAGCTCAAGAAATATATATTTTTGTCTAAAAAAATCAATCTCATGTATATCATGTCATGCTTCATCCTTAAAAAAAATTGGCTATTACTGGATAAAGGAAAATCTGTTTATTTTCAATTTTAATTGAATTAAATATTTTTTGGGTTCTCTAAGCCCTCAAATAATTTCCCATGGAAATTAAATATCACCCAACACTCGGTTGAAAACCACCTCTTGCGTCGAAACTGTTAATTCTAGAGATATGCCATCATATAATATTACCCGGGACCGAATATAATGAATTAGAGAGGTCGCTGAACATTCTTTCATCGTTTCAAATTCTTAATTACCGATTCAAATCCTCAAGAATCATTGACTTTGAATCAGTGGTTCAAGATTTGATCCAGTGTAGGTAGTAGTTAAGCGATCTGGCTTAAATTTATGAAATGTTACGGTTTGGCCAGCTGTAGGTAACATTGTGGCTTTGATTTATATAATTTATAAGATTTATAAAACGAATAAATGAAGGGGTCTGGCGGAGCTTTGTCCACATCCGATGGTTCCTTGATGTCCTTGATGATGCTGCTGTTCACCCCCTTCACGTTCCTGTTCTCCCTCCTCTCCAGGTTCATTAATCCTCAACCCAGCCCAGCAGCTCAACCAGATAATACCAGCAACCAACGGTAAGGAAAGCAGTCATTTAAAAACTACGAGTACGAACTTTTCTGTTTTCTCCGTTATGTTATAAAGTATATTCCTTTATAGAAATCTGTTTTTTTTCTGGTAAGTAACAATTCGCATTGAAGCCCACTAATCTAAAATCTTATTTATGAAGGTCCAGGTGAAAACCAGTTTTTACAAAGGAATGTTCATTTACTTTCAGAAAAATTAGAATAATAACCCCGAAAGTGCAGGCCGTACTTTTTGAGTTTAAAAATGCATATTTTTAGAAAAGAAGGAGGGAATAGGGGACCACGAGCGGGAAATATCGGTAAGTATGTTAATTGAAGTTGAACCACGTAATCAATTCTATAAATAATTTTAAGTAAATACTATTAAGTCTATTTTCAAAATTCGTTAGTTCAAATAATTCTTTGTGTTGATTTTGCCAATTTAAAAAAAAATCCTAAAGATTAACAGATTTTACAGTTTGCGTTGATTCTTATATTTTAGAAGTACATTAATTGCTTTTTGAGAGAAATAAAAAAATGAATCACAAGGGAGACTGTTTTTTATTTATTTATTAAAGGAGAGGAAGTTGATTTTCTGGTTCCAGAATCCGACACTTCGAACTTGCGGATTTTACAATACTAATAAATAATAATACGTACATTATATATTGTACAGGGCGCCTGCGGCAATCTGAGAATGACGACGACAACAATACGTATAATGGAAACAGTACGCAGCAGATGTAACTCAAGTGTGTGATGACAAGTACAATGTACTTCATAACTTACGTTGTAATGCAAATTGTACAGTTTAAAGAGTTCAGTGTTTTGCACCTCAATTCTTAACTAAACAGAGTTTTGGTTTTCAAATTTTCAATTTAAAGAAATTCTTGTACGCAAAAACAATTTCATATTTAAGTCAATGTCCTAGATTTTTGGGTCGTACGTGGGCCTTTTTATATATATTTGGGATACACGAGACATAAGGTCCTACTGCAATTTTATTTTTAAGTAATTGTTCTGAAACGCGTATTTTATCATAGTTATCAATTTTTTTATGTTTTTAGCAACGTTTTTTTCTAAAACTTGGGCTTTTTTAAATCTTGACATTTATTTTCACAATTGGGGTGATTTGTATCGCATAATGTATACTGTACAGCGTACAATCTACACACTTTGCAGTGTTCACTGTACACTATACACTATGCAGTATTCGCTTTTGTGAGGACTGTACAGTGTACAGTATACACATTTCTGTGCTAGGTTTCAATATTTGGTTTTTACTGTTTGCATGTAATTTATTAGGTTTTATTTTTCTGGGTCTGAATATAATTCTTTAAAAACGAAAATTGAGCTTAAATTTTATATTGTATACTGTTCTTATTGCCATTTCCCGCATATACTGTGATTTAACGATTTAAAATTAAACTGTGTTGATTTATACCTTTTTTCTGACTTCGACAAAATTAAAATTTTGAAAATATAAAAAATCTAAGAAATAAAAATATATTCCAATATAGATAACATACATATTTTTGTTTTAAATTTCAAATATGATTATACATTATTTTATTTTTAGAGATGTCAAAATTTTCCTAGATTTGAAATAAAGTTATTTTCTAACCAGTTTGGACAAAGATATCTATCCAGTTTCCTCTTAATTTTAATATGGTTCGTTATTTAGTTTTGTTTACACTTTTGACATCTTTCTATCGAGAGTTTTAGTTTCGTTTACACTCTTTGAATCTATCTATTGAGAGTTTTACTTACTTGGTTTTGGTTTACACTCTTGGCATATATCCTGAGAGTTGTAGTTTGGTTACATTCTTGGCATCTATCTATCTGAGAGTTTAAGTTTTGGTTACACTCTTGGCATCTATCTATCTGAGAGTTTTATTAAGTAAGATTTGGTTTACACTCTTGGCATATATCTATCTGAGAGTTTTAGTTAATTTTTTTTGGTTTACAGTCTTGGCATATATCTATCTGAGAGTTTTAGTTAGATAGTTTTGGTTTACACTTTTAGCATATATCTATCTGAGAGTTTTAGTTAATTAGTTTTGGTTTGCACTCTTGGCATCTATGTATCTGAGAGTTTTACTCAGCAAGTTTTTGTTTACACTCTTAGCATATACCTATCTGAGAGTTTTAGTTAATTATTTTTGGTTTACAGTCTTGGCATATATCTATGAGAGTTTTAGTTAGTTTTGGTTTACACTCTTAGCATATATCTGTCTGAGAGTTTTATTTAATTAGTTTTGGTTTACACTTTTGGCATTTATCTATCTGAGAGTTTTACTTACTTGAGATTTTTGAGTAGCAATAAAAATAATAAGATAAATCCTTCTGTTATTTTTAATTACTTAGTTTCAGATAAAAAATGGATAAATGGTCCAGAGAGTTTTAGTTAATTAGTTTTGGTTTACACTCTTGGCATCTATCTATCTGAGCGTTTTACTTAGCAAGTTTTGGTTTACACTCTTAGCATATACCTATCTGAGAGTTTTAGTTAATTATTTTTGGTTTACAGTCTTGGCATATATCTATCTGAGAGTTTTAGTTAGTTAGTTTTGGTTTACACTCTTAGCATATATCTATCTGAGAGTTTTATTTAATAAGTTTTGGTTTACACTCTTGGCATCTATCTATCTGAGCGTTTTACTTAGCAAGTTTTGGTTTACACTCTCGGCATTTATCTATCTGAGAGTTTTACTTAGCAAGCTTTGGTTTACACTCTCGGCATTTATCTATCTGAGAGTTTTAGATAATTATTTTTGGTTTACACTTTTGGCATCTATCTATCTGAGAGTTTAGATAATTATTTTTGGTTTACACTTCTGGCATTTATCTATCTGAGAGTTTTAGATAATTATTTTTGGTTTACACTTTTGGCATCTATCTATCTGAGAGTATTAGATAATTATTTTTGGTTTACAGTCTTGGCATATATCTATCTTAGAGTTTCAGTTAGTTTTGGTTTACACTCTTAGCATATATCTGTCTGAGAGTTTTATTTAATTAGTTTTGGTTTACACTCTTGGCATCTATCTATCTGAGAGTTTTACTTAGCAAGTTTTGGTTTACACTCTCGGCATTTATCTATCTTAGAGTTTTAGATAATTATTTTTGGTTTACACTTCTGGCATTTATCTATCTTAGAGTTTTAGATAATTATTTTTTGTTTACACTTTTGGCATTTATCTATCTTAGAGTATTAGATAATTATTTTTGGTTTACACTTTTGGCATTTATCTACTTGAGATTTTTGAGTAGCAATAAAAATAATAAGATAAATCCTTCTGTTATTTTTAATTATTTAGTTTCAGATAAAAAATGGATAAATGGTCCGGTTTACAGCCCAACCTCAGTCCCTGCACTCTCAAAACTATCAAAAGGTATCTTGTAAAACAGTGTACAGTCCAGTGTATAGGAACAAAGAATTCTAAAAATGTATCTGCATACTGGCATAAAACATGGGTAATCGTGTGTGTCTATAAAAAGAGATCATTCCCTTTTAGCTTAACAGCAAGCAAATAAAGGGACATTCGGTCAAAGGTATGTTAAGCCAGTTACTCAGCAATCGGCATTAAGCATAAAAATATAAATCTTCTATCTATATAATATTTTGGCTTGTCTGTGTTAAAGCGTCAAAACGGTTAAACCGATCGGGTGCAAACTATTTATACAAATCATATGTAGTGTACTAAGTGCACAGGCATTTAGCTCCGTATATTTTTCAACCCTGTTAATTCAAAACGTTTGCTTTTCTTACACTATGCCAAAGCTAAATGTCATATGAACCCAGGGAAGGTTTATAATCCGCCGAAGATAAAATATTTTGCCGTGAAAAAAATGTTGACATTTAGTGTTTTTGAAAACGCACAAATGTACACACAAATTTCCGCGATTTTTATGATAATATAAACATTGAAAAATGCTAAANCTATCCTGGAGACCCTCTACAGGTTCAAGCTTCTCCAGATTATTGTTTAAACAACGCCATAAGCGATTCTTTTCACTAATTTTTTCTTTTTCTGAAAACATTGGACAAATTTAAACAATTTTCTTACTTGGCTGTAAGAAAAAATACGTTTTTTAGTTATTTATAAAGTCTTATTTAAAATCTTAATTTGTCACGATTTTCAATTCAAATAATTATTTACTATGGATTTTGGTTGGTTGATTGATTGATTAATTGTGTAAATTTTAGGCTTCCCGTCCCATTGACTCCACATGAAATTGGAGCTCTGATTGTTAGTCCCACCAGAGAACTAGCTTCACAGATCAGGTCGGTGTTCCATTAAAGGGTATTTTGTATTATGGATAGTTAAGGGATTGTTAAGATATTTAAATTTGTATGAAAGGTATTGTTTAGATATTTATATTTATATTTATTTTAAAGGGATCGTATTGTTCAGATGTTTATATTTGTATTAAAGGGATTGTATTGTTCAGATATTTATATTTGTATTAAAGGGATTGTATTGTTCAGATATTTATATTTGTATTAAAGGGATTGTATTGTTCAGATATTTATATTCTTATTAAAGGGATTGTATTGTTCTAATTTTTATATTTGTATTAAAGGGATTGTATTATTGTGATATTTATATTTGTATTAAAGGGATTGTATTGTTCAGATATGTATATTTGTATTAAGGGATTGTATTGTTCTGATATTTATATTCTTATTAAAGGGATTGTATTGTTCAGATATTTATATTCTTATTAAAGGGATTGTATTGTTCAGACATTTATATTTGTATTAAAGGGATTGTATTGTTCAGATATTTATATTTGTATTAAAAGGATTGTATTGTTCAGATATTTATATTCTTATTAAAGGGATTGTATTGTTAAGATAGATATATTTGTATTAAAGGGAATTGTTCAGATATATATATTTGTATTAAAGGGATTGTATTGTTCAGATATGTATATTTGTATTAAAGGGATTGTATTGTTCAGATATTTATATTTATTTTAAAGGGATTGTATTGTTCAGACATTTATATTTGTATTAAAGGGATTGTATTGTTCTGATATTTATATTTGTATTGAAGGGATTGTATTGTTTAGATTAGATATTTAAATCAGTATTAAAGAGGTTGTTCAGATATTTGTATTAGTATTAAAGAGATTGTTCATATATATATATATATATTTGATTTACAGGGATTGTCCAGATATTTATATTGCGCTAAAGACAATGTTCAGATATTAAGGATTGTATTAAGTGAACATTGAATTATATTTTGTTTTGTTTAGTGAAGTTTTAGCAGAGTTCTTGAAGGATTCTGAATACAAATTATCCCATAGATTATTTGTCGGGGGAAATAAAGTAAGTTTTTGAAAAATTTATTCTTGTATGAATACACGAAAGGAAAACAGAAAAAATCCGCGACTTTTTGTTATTTTTAAATGTACGTAAAAGAAAGGCCTAGTATTTACAGTAAAAAAATTTCTTATCAACTATAATTTGATTTAGTATTTATTTTGGTATATTTTGTTTTAAAATATATATTTCAAATGTTGTCAAAGAAAAAATTTAGCTTTATAAAATATTATTTATAACCCATCTTTTTTTAGGTTGGTTCGGACGCAGTAACCTACTCCGAGGAGGGGGGAAATATCCTTGTTGTAACTCCAGGACGGATTGAAGATCTTCTCATTGGCAAATCCTCAGGTAAAACCAGGAAACTTTTAAAGGGACTGTTAACGGAATTAAAGAATCTTAAGCGGCTTCCCATCTACAGTCGGACAGACATAGTACGAATTGTTTGTCTTTTTGTATGTTTTGTATGTCTTTTTGTTTGTTTTGTTTGTATTGTCTGTACTGTACTGTACTGTACTGTACTGTACTGAACTGTACTGTACTGTACTGTACTGTACTGTTATGTGTTGTATTGTACTGTACTGTACTATATTTTACCGTACTGTACTGTACCGTACTGTACTGTACTGTACTGTACCGTACTGTACTGTACTGTACTGTACTGTACTGTACTGTTCTGTACTGTACTGTACTGTACTGAACTGTACTGTACTGTACCGTACTGTACTGTACTGTACTGTACTGTACTGCACTGTGTTTCAGGTGCATCTGTTGGTGAACACAAGGTTTCCAAGGGTTTGAAAAGTTTAGAAATTCTAGTTCTCGACGAGGCAGACAGATTACTCAGGCAAGCTTAACTTTTTAAATAGTAATTTGAACATATTTTCCGCCAAATATTCTTCTTTTCATGAAACTCGTAAAATTTGAATTTGTTGTTTACAGTTTGGGATTTGAAAACAGTGTAAACACGATCCTTCAGTTCTGTCCTAAACAGAGAAGAACCGGTTTATTCTCAGCTACACAGACATCAGAGATATCAAATCTTATCAGGTAACAAGGGGTTGTAGACTCCAGAACTATCAAATATATCAAATGAAAAGGGTTCTATTCATCATAGAGAGCAGGGTAGATTGTATTTTCAAAAAAACTACCTCTTCATGTGGAACTTGTGACAAAAAAACCTAACATACCCTGAAAAAAATGGAAATTATAAATTACAAATAGTTGTTTCTGAAAACTCAGGATCGGTGTTGTAACTTTTGAATCTGTAATTCCTTAAGAAAGAACTAATTTTTTAATTTGTATGTTTTTCGATCAGATTGACAAAGTTAAGTTCTTTTAAATATCTAGTGTAAAAGTCACAAACATAGGTCTCATATTTACGGATTAAGCACCTCTAATCTCTTTAAATTAAAATCTTCCATTACTTAAGCCAAGTTGAGACGTTTTAGATTAGCACTCTTGTGCAAAAGTTCTTACCTCTCATCTTATAAAATGTCGTCTTGACATTTGTTCAATAGGTTTTATACTATTATACCTAAATCTCTGTAATTGTAAAAATGAATAAATAGCCATGAAATATGCGGGAACATTTTTAAAGAGCTCCATATAATTATTCAATTAAAAAAAAACAAATATCTGCAGTATTCCATTTTCAGTAAGTTAGACAACGACCTTTTATAAATTCTTTCTATTTCTCCAAAGTTCTGGATTAAACTGTATAACTGGTGTGTTTAGGGCAGGGTTAAGAAACCCTGTAATGATAACTGTGAGAGAGAAAGGAACTGATGCTAATGTAATCTCAAGAACTCCAATCAAACTAGGAACGAAAATAATATTTGTTCATTTCATCCCAATCAGATTTAAGTGAATACTTCAAATTCACCGATAAAAGGAGGGACCGACAATGTATGGTGGTCAAACTGAGAATGTAGTATTGTGAACCATTTTTTAGGAATCATTTTAGACATATAAAACGTTTCTTTGACGTATAGTCACCTAGTTTAAGCACAATGTCTAAGCTAAAAATCATCAATTTGGTTGCCTGGTACGTTTTGAGATTGTTTTTTTTTATTATTAATAACTACGACAGAAAAGGTAACAAAATTTCTACAGTTAACTAATAAGTTGTTGAGGAACAGGTTTATAAATTAAAAATTAACTCTTATCATTGAAAATAAGTAATCTTATTCAGTTATTAGTTTCTGTACTCTCTCATTCTTCACAAACATTTTCTGTAGACTTTTTGAAAATTTTATTGAAAAGACAACATTTGAAGAAATTGTAGAAATCTGTGAACAAATTAGTAAAGAATGAGAAATTTAATATAATGATGAAAACGAAATCATTGATTCTTAGATTGATTTATTGACAAATTTCTTCTCAGAAATATGTTCTTAAATATCTTATTAGTTTACTGAAGAATATTTGTTACATTTTTGTCGTCTTTATTTCATAATTTAAAAAAATGGATTCTCAAAACGTACCCACTCAAAACTGTTCCGATTCACAACAGTTTTCTTCAAACTTTTGTCTAAAAAACAATGAAAAAGATATCGTCGTTTTTATTCTTGAAAAGTTTTAAATTCTCACAATTACCTTAATTGTCTATGCAGCATAAATCCCCAAGTAACTTTTTAGAGGAACTAAAGAATGAGAAATTTAATATAATGATGAAAACGAAATCATTGATTCTAACATTGATTTATTGACAAATTTCTTCTCAGAAATATGTTCTTAAATATCTAATTAGTTTACTGAAGAATATTTGTTACATTTTTGTCGTCTTTGTTTCATAATTTAAAAAAATGGATTCTTTAAACGTACCCACTCAAAACTGTTCCGATTCACAACAGTTTCCTTCAAACTTTTTTCTAAAAAACAATATAAAAAGATATCGTCGTTTTAATTCTTGAAAAGATTTAAATTCTCATAATTTCCTTAATTGTCTATGCAGCATAAATCCCCAAGTAACTTTTTAGAGGAACTGCAATTGAAAACGTTCAATTGTGAGGGAACAGAGGATATCCTTTTCAATTTTGACGAGACAAAAGTTTAAATTGTACTGCCTTCAATCAGAAATGCTAATTTATTAACAGAGTTCACTTGAAAACACGCCTTAAGGGAAAAATGAAAGGGGGTATATGCTGATACACTTCAGATGTTTATCGTGACCTATAGGAGTTCTATCGTATGTTCCTGTCTCTCGAGAAAATATAAAACTGTGTCATCTGTTATAACAAAACTTGTCGATATGAGATGTGGTATATAAATCAAAGTTTTAAACAGATCACATTGAGTAGATACACAACCAATCGGAACCTAAACAGCTTAGGTACGCTCTTATTATAATTTGAATTTAATAATTTTAATTTTCAATAGATATAATTGATAATGTAATTAATACGGCTGTATCACGTGACCAGAACTTCCACCAATGGCAGTGCAACATCATTGTCACAAGATACAGACCGAGACAGGGACTTTAGATAGAACTCATATAGGTCGCCATCAACTTCTAAATTTTCAAGGTTTCAGCCCCCACCCCCTTTCATTTTTCCTTGACAGTCCCTTTAATTTATAAGAAGGGGGTTCTAAGGTTTTATAGCTAGCTTGGTCTACTTTAAACTTGTCTCTTAAAGGGACTGTAAGCGTAATTTCAAGTGACTCTCCATGCAAAGATGGCAATGTCCTATTCAGAATGGTTCCCGTAAAAGCTTTGTCTGATAAAGTATGAATTTTATATCAATGTTTAAAATCTTAAAACTGCTTATTTTCAATTGTGGTTTCTCACAAAAGTAACTTGCCCATCTCTACTGCAGGAAAACGTATACGAATTATCGAAATCAACACTCTTAAACCTAGAAAAAAATACAATATCTTCCACATTAAGTACAGACTATGTCGGAAATTTTAACAAATTATTTAAAATATTACAAGTATCAATATCACATTATTGACTTGTTTATTATGGAATCGTTGATTTAGAATATTTATATTTTGTTTTTGGAACTTAAGTTTTCGTGGTTTTCAGAAAATTTCTATTGTCTCTGTGAACCTAAGGCTAAATTTGCCCAACTAGTGGAGTTCCTGCTCTTACATAAACAGGAAATCAGCATTGTTTTTTTCATATTATACCATAGTTCATTTACCATGGTTAGATTTGACATGTACATTAGTTCAATTAAACTTGTACCATGGTTAAATTTGACATGTACATTAGTTCAATTAAACTTGTATCATGGTTAAATTTTTACATTGGTTTTAGTGTCTAATTTGACATGTACCAGAGTTAATATGCACTAATGACAATTAAACTCGTGAAACCCATTTGGTTTGGCTTACTTTTAATATGTTCTTGATCATCTACCATACCAATTGTGCTTTATAAAATAACTTCTTTTAGTTTCTCTTTTAGATAATTACAGGAGATATAAATGATTTCAGAATAAGACAATTTCATTGTTTTATTTAATAGATTTAAAGTGAAACATTTATTAAAATCTCTGGTATTTTTTTAGAGCTAAAGATGGCAGACCTTATTTTGGAAAGAGCAGGATTAGGGCTATTTTGTTATTATTTAACAACAAAAAAATGGCTAAAATAAGGATACCTTTAATGAATTCAACAAAGACGACTTAAAAGTCATCAATCAATTTATATTATTCTGGGTTATTTAGAATATCAATGAAGTTCATAATAAGAATTAGTATTCAGAGTGGCTGTATAAGTTGATTAATTATTTGGTTTGGTTTAACTATAATGTTTGGTTTGGTTTGATTAGGATAAGATCCTATTGTTTGCTGCCACGTGTGCTGTAGTGGATTATTTCTCTATCCTGCTCTCAAAACTTTTACCTGGAACTGATGTCCTAGCTATCCATGGGAAGATGAAGAAGAAAAGATACAAGATTTTTGAAAGGAAAACCTTTTTCCAAATTCCATACTTTTTTATTCTTTTTACTGTCTGAATTTTACGACATATTCTTTTTTACTCTTTTAATTCATACTTAAACCCTGCACTTTATTTCTTATTAATAAATCTACATGCCTTAATAAGAAAAAAATTTCAAATAGGTTTAAGAACCTTGAATCAGGACTCCTAATCTGTACAGATGTAATGGCGAGAGGGGTTGATATTCCAGAGGTAAAAAGTCCTGCTTTAGTTTTGACACACAATTTCTTGAATTGCGTATTTTATTTTGTAAAAATTATAAACAGGATAACTCAATTTTTAGTTTGAACTATCATGTTAAATTCAAAATTACTGTTCAGTGTACAAGTGTCAATAAACATTTAACAGATTTGTACATATCAGTGTTTGTTGATTTGCTGATGGTAATAAACCGTTTGTTCATATTATTAATGTACAGGTCAACTGGGTTCTACAGTTTGATCCTCCAAGCAATGCAGAATCCTTTGTGCACAGATGTGGCAGAACTGCTAGAATTGGGAATCAGGTAAATAATAACAACAGCAACAACAAATAAATAACATCTACAACAACACTGACAATACATCATTACATTATTAACACTCAATAATTTTCCATATTTTTTCTTACCTTTGGCTAATTTATATTTTTCTAAACCTCCCTAATAATTAAAAAGATAATTTTTCCTTTATCAATTTTATAATTTTCATAATTGTAATCTATATATATATAAATTTGTAATCTCTGTTTGTCTGTTTTTTTGTTTGTTTGTCCGATCAAAACTTAGGAACCCCTATACTGATTTGCCTCAAATTTGTATTGGGGGAATTATGATTATTAAGATTATAACAGGGGTGTATACATTTTTTTTACCTCAAAATCAAAGACACAAGAGGAGGGAAGGGTAGGAAAAAAGGAAAAGAAAAGGGGAAAGAAAAGGGAAAGAAATAAAGTAAAAGAGGAAAGAAAAAGGAAAGAAATGAAAGAAAAGGGGAAAGAAAATGGGGGGAAATGGAAGTAAAGGGGAAAGAAAAAAGTAAAGGAAATGGGAACTTGGGTTACTTTAGAAAAAAGAGATGGGTGGGGAAGGGGGAAACATAGGGAGGGGGAAGTGAGGGAAGTGGATAGTTAGGGAAGATGAATAGGTAGGGAAGATGAAATTACGAAATTTCAAAAGTTGAAGGCGATCTCAAGTTGCATCTAAATTTCCATGTTTATTAGGACACCCTGTGCATGCACTTTTTACAGTGAAACTTTCAAATCGTTTAATTTTTCGGTGACTGGGAATTCTTGTTTGACAAATCGTTCTAAATTGTTAATTATCTCATTTTCTAAAAAGCTATTTTTTATCAGTTTTGTTAAATTTCCAAAACAGGTTTTTGATTAATTTTAAATCAACTTAAACCCCTGAAATGTAATGTAAGGGAAAGGAATTGTATTTGAGGGAATGGTTTGTTAGGTTGAGCTGGATAAAACCAGTTTACCGGAACCCAACCAGGATTATATTGAAACCATCAGGCAGTTCGCCATCGAGGACAGAGCAGTCTTTGACAAGGTTGGAAAGTGATTACTGATTTGTAGATTTCTTGGCTGTGTATTGTTAATATGAATTTTAAATCTTATGGGGGCTGGTTTTTGTCACAATATTCCTAAATTTCGAAAAACTTATGTTTGCATTTAAATCGACTCATTCGGATGGAAAACCCAATTTTATGTCAGCAAATAAAATTGTTTGTTTCAAACATATTTATGATTGTAATCAAGGGGTGGATACAGGATGTAACTGGGGGGNACTTATTAAAAGTGTTTTTAACATTTTACCATTGTAACATTAGAAAAATAAAAAAGTGATAGTCAGAACAAGAGCATAAAACTTATTTGCAACCTTTCATAATGTTAACTGCTCTAACTTAAAATAGTCGGATTTTACCAGAATTATTTTTTAATATAATTTCTTGCCCATGTGCCCATGGAACCTCACAAATATGATATAATAATAATCTTATGAGGATAAAAATGTAATAATGGAATTCTTAAACGAGATGAAATAATCTTGATGCATTCTTTGAGGAAGGCCGCATTTCCTCATAAGATTATCATATTATTATTAGTATTATTATAATAATATTGACATTTTAATTAATGTTATTGACGTTTATTAAAATTTTAGGGAAATCGTGCATTTGTCTCCTATATCCAGTCCTATTCTAAACATGAATGCAATGTTCTCTTAAAAATAAAGGTAAGGAAACCATTTGTTAATATTTAAATGTTTATTTTTACCAAGTTAGGCCTCACAAATTAGCATACAGTGAGAACCAAAAACTTTGGAATAGGAACATGATTTTCAGATGCAAGTTATGACTTCAAATAGAAGTTATGACTTCAAATAGAAGTTATGACTTCAAATATAAGTTATGCCTTCAAATAGAAGTTATGACTTCAAATAGAAGTTATGCCTTCAAATAGAAGTTATGACTTCAAATAGAAGTTATGCCTTCAAATAGAAGTTATGACTTCAAATAGAAGTTATGGGTTTAAATAGAAGTTATGACTTCAAATTGAAGTTATGACTTCAAATAGTCCAATGAACATGAGACACCTTAATTTTGTAGTTTAAACAGACCCATTTAACATGTGGTTTGATAAGTTAGTTGCTAGTTAACTATTTCAGTTGTAACAACATTAAATAAACTTAAGTAGTGCTACTCCACAGTTATCTGTTTCTCACTGTAGAAAAATATATTTTGAAATATCTCGGAACATTTTTTGACGTGTTCCGAAAACGAATAATCGGCCATGGTTTTAAAAATACTTAGGTTTTTTAAACTTTGACAAATTGACATTAAAAATTAAGTTATAATTAACTTCTATTTTTTTTACATACAGTGGGAGTAAAAAACATTATTAGCATTGTTAAAACATTACTTGAATTACATTTTTAATAAAAAATTCTTTTAATAGAAAAATTCATTTTGTCAACGTGGCAGGATTTGGGAAGATTGGAAGCAGATTTGAATTTTTTTTCCCAAAAAAATAACTTTGCATTTTGTTCACATCATTTTATTAAACTTCTCTATTGACCCCCCAGGCCCAAACTGTGAATTTAGGAATTTTTTTTGAGAACACTACGCAAAACATCTATCAATCTACGAGCTCTACAGAAACAATAGCTCTTTAAAAATACTATAGCGGCAGCTCACGGTTTCATTTTGGATTTTGGAAGATCTTGAAAGATCTTAAAAAAGAAAGAAAACGGCAAGCAAGTCGGCAATCACCAAAACTGAAACGGTTAGGTGCGAAAGCTCAGAGTCCATAATGAACACACGATAATAGTCGCATACTTTGATTTAGCGTTAGCTTCTCTTCACTCGGCAAATTGAAAAATACTGAAATAAATCAGCTGTTACTAATCAGGGAGTTGAGAACTCTAGGAGTATTAGGAAGTGCGTCATTCCGACATCAAGGAACATAGTAGCGGACATTAGATGAGCTGTATAGTTGAGAGAAATTGATACATTATAACCTGATTTGTCTGTAGGTTGATTGTTATATAATAATAATGATAGGATCTTGATCTGGGTGGGGTAGCGAGCTCCTATGGTTTGCTCAAGATGCCTCGTATGCCAGAACTCAAGAAAATACAGATTCAAAACTTTACTCCAGCTGCAGGGGTAGATGTTAACAGTATTAAATATTCAGGTCAATTCATCATCAACTGTTTATGTTTTCATGTTTTCAAGAATTTATTAATGTTCTGGTGGTAAAAAAATGAAAAAATTGGACATCAAAAAGCAAGTTATTTATTCTTTTTGATACTTTTATTTTCCCCCAAAAATCATTTATTAATTCAGCGAATAAAACCCATAATAAAAAAATTTGGCGCTCCGCGAACACATACCTAATTTCTAACCCAAGCCCCAAAATCCAGAAGAAATTTTGTGCCTTTGCAATTTCGGGATTTATAGTATCTAATATAAAAGGAAACTAAATGACTGTTTTTCACCTTTTTGCAACAAAATTGAAATAGTCAGTTTTTCTCAAATTGTACATTGTTCAAGTGTGTAAATTCTACTAACATTGATTTAAAACACACTTTTAAAGTTTCACAAAATCGCTTTTCAATAGTTTGAAATGTTGCAGATTGTACATGCATTGCATATAAACCACGTGTGCCGTCTTTAAAAAAGATGAGTGTCAAAACCAGTGCTTAGGATCCGGATCGCAGCATTTTGGCTTCCTGGATCCGACTCTGCAAAAATATGCGGATCCACGGATCCGGATCCAAAGACAAAATATCAACCAAAACTACAAAAAAAAATCTTTTGCACTCAAAATTCAAATCTGAACTGTTAATAAAAGAGAGATTATCAAGAATGTCCTTATCTCTGAATGGTTCATGCAAAAAATAAGTGAAAAAAGTAAAAAAAATTAATTTGAAAATTTGAATTTTAAAATTAGGATTGTTGTGTTGTGTAGGATAAGCGGCGGGATAAGAAGCAGCGCAGAGCAGAGAAGAGGTCAATGAAGGGGGAGAAGGAGGTGGAGGAGGACAAAGAGGATGAGGAGGAGTTCGAGGCGGAATACAGAATGATAAAAAAGATCAAGGAATTCAAATATTCAAGAATTTAATGAGAATTTAATAAAAATGAGATACAGGTTTATCCGAAAAGGATAAGACTACAGATTTTTTTCAATCTTTTTCCTTACATTAATGGTTCCCTGCATTGCACCTACAGCTGGTTCGATTTTGGGTCGTTTTTTGCTAAATTTTCAAAACTATGTCATATGTTGACCCTGGCAGAAGATATATGCCAAAAACGACCCAAAAATAATGCCAAATCGAACGTGTTGTTTTGATGGTTTTATTTTTTTTTTATATAACTATCCAAAAAGATTGTCAAGACTACCTGCACCTCATCTTTTTTAGCTAAACCATGAAAGACATGAAAGTCAAATTAGATGTGTGTTTTTTTCTTGTTTTTTCTTGCATTTTTTGGGACTTCTAATCCTTTAAAATTTCTGAAAATAATTATTGTTTTTTGTTGAATTTAACTTTTCAGTGAAAAAGATGAATATTTTGAACCAATTTTGCTTCATAATTTGAAAATATGAATTTGAAGGCGGGTAAGATGAAATCTTCCAAGTTTGATGAAGCTATAGAACTAGATAATATGTCAGATGTAGAGGAATCTTAAACATTTGTAATTTTTATATTTTTTATATTTTTTCTTAAATAAATATTATTTGTTGCATTTTGTCTGGATTTAAATTTATGCTTTATACATTTTTTTAACTCTTCAATTCCAAAGTATAAACTAAAATTTTTATTATTTTTAGACTTTTAGTCTTAACTGTCGCAGCTTTTAAAATTATTAATATGTTATGATTTTATTATTTGTATTATTGGTTTTGTTGTTGTTGTTGTTTTTGCTGATGCTGCTGCTATTGCTATTGCTATTGCTATTGCTATTGCTATTTCTATTGCTATTAGTATTATTATTGGTATTGTTGTTATTAACCGCAGACTCGTTTGGTAAAGACACACAACATGACCACAGTCAAGAAAATTGCAGAACAATGTCGTCAATTAAAATTAAGCTTGAATAACGAGTAGTTTATTGTAAATTTTAATCAAATTATATTCTTTGCATGAAAATTAGGCTTTTAGTGTTGACTTAAAAATATAAATACATTTATATTAAACTTCTTTTAAGTAAATAATAATTAAAATTAAACAAATGTACTCTCCTAGACTGTACAAATACCTAGATTCTTTTGTACTGTATATACCGACAGTACACGCCTTCGGTTCGTTATTACTTACACACACTCTTTTGGTACAGACACACATACATGACGTTTCTGCCCCCGGCCCTGATTATAAGGGCCCCACAATATTATTCTAAAATACTTGGAACATAAAATGTTGTCATCCAACTATGAGTTTGGTCCACTTGAGTATTTATTCACTTTGCTTATCCAATGTGTTCGATCTTGTATCCTGGGATAAACTGTTCCCCAGATCTATTGGAAAGATACATTTCAGTTTTTCCTCTAAGTTGTCTCATACATCACGCACCTCTGACCCTTTAGTAAAAGTAAATTCAACCTAACGTCTGACCGCGTCAACCTTGTTGCACCGGCTAATACAATTGAGTGTCTGCATTATTTAATAGAAGAACCCAACCTGCAATGTGAAATGGACTGATTCTCTATCCCATGGTTTTCAAGTAACAAACGGAGTAAGACAGGGAGCGGTTTACATATGTAAATATCTTGGAATATGGGATTATGCTTATGTCATTATTCTTATGTCCCCAAGTAGGAATGGTTTACAGGAAATGACAAATAAATGTGAGAAAGGAATTGAGTCTTTGCCATGAACTCAAATTTTCCAATACCTTTCTTTCACTTTAGAGCCCAATGTCGTAGACCTTAGATATTTCAAAATAAGAATTTGGTTTAATTAAATAATGTCGCAGGGTTATACCTTTATTACTCCTCTCCTTACTCCCCCTCCTTCCCTTCTTTACCCTTATCCTTTTACTCCCCTTCCTTCCTTTCTTTTCCCCTTTCTTTTCCTTTCTTTACCCTTATCCTTTCCCCCTTCCTTCCTTTCTTAACCCCTCTCTTCTTTACCCTTATCCTTAGCCCCTTCCTTCTCTTCTTTACCCTTATCCTTACCCCCCTTCCTTCTCTTCTTTACCCTTATCCTAACTCCCCTTCCTTCTCCTCTTTACCCGTATCCTTACTCCCCTTCCTTCTCTTCTTTACCCTTATCCTTACTCCCCTTCCTTCTCTTCTTTACCCTTATCCTTACTCCCCTTCCTTCTCTTCTTTACCCTTATCCTTACTCCCTTTCCTTCCTTTCTCAAGGTTAGTTGGAGCAGCTCCCAGGATACTCACGGTTCTAAAGGTTAGTTGGAACAGCTCTCAGGATACTCATGGTTCTCAAGATTAGTTGGAGCAGCTCCCAGGATACTCATGGCACTTCTTGCCACAGATTTTGAGTTTACCTTCAACATCTTTATCTGATGAACAAGCATGCTCTGATTATCCTTTACGAGAGATCTCCTCCTCAGCAGAATCTGATTAGTTTGAAGAAATTGATATCAGGGACACTGCTCTTAGCATTCCTTGTCCTAGGACTTATAGGATTCAGAGCTCTTGTGTTAACATTAAATCGAATGGAAACCCAACCTATTACTGTTTTCTACACAGGGCTTTGCCTTCAACTGTATTTTACCAAAACACTTCAAGCAACATATTAGAAATAACAACGCTGAGTTTTCATTTCTAAATTCTAAATTCAAAATATTTGAGCGAGGTCAACAAGTTTCTTCAATTACCTGATTTGTCTGATACAGTGATACCCATAAAACTATGGAATAGGAAGATGACATTTTAGCTATCATAAAGCAAATAATTTGATCATTAGCTTGATAATCAACTATTTGATCAGTAGCTTGATAATCAACTATTTGATCAGTAGCTTGATAATCAACTTTTTTATGAGAAATACACAATTGCTGTTCATAACTTGAGTCTAACAGTCGTCTCAGGGGCGAATGAAAGAAAACTTGGACAAGTGGACTTTTAATAGTAAGTTATATCAAGTTATATCAAGTTATATCAAGTTATAACTTTGAAAATTTCAATGAGCGTAAGCCACAGAAATTGTGTGATGACCGGCCCAATTCGCTAAAGGAAAAGAGTCTTGGTCACAAACTTAAATTTTCTAATTCCTATATGTTTGCAAGCTGAGAATGTAAACCTTTGATATTTCAAACCAAGACTTTTTGACCCAAAAGAATTTATAGTTTAAAACATCTTAGGTCTGCGACATTAGGTTGCAAAGATATAGGAATAAGAAAATGTGTCAAAACCTCAAATTTTTTTTATGTTTTAAAAAGTGTCTAGTAAACAACATCCATAACACTTTAGTATGGTCATAATGTCGTCTTCCTATTCCATTGTTTTCTGGTTATCTCTGTACGAGGTTACCAAGTCGTTCTAGTAATTTCGCATAAATGTACACTTCTTAATTAATTTTTTATTAATCATTAATATTAGTCAGAATATTCAAAATGTTACAGATCGTCATTACAGAGTCTAATCCTTTTGTGGGTAACCAAGTAAGGTTATTTTTGAGCTGAATCGTTTAAGATTGAAAACGTGAAATTTACATTCATTTGGCGTGACAAGCGCGATAAATTCCGCACAGTCGTCGCTTTGGTTTCATCTTTGTGGGTAACCACCACCATGCACAATTTACAACTTATTAAAATACAAGAAAAAAAAAAACATTTCAAAATTTAAATGTACAAGCAAAAGAACAAACGTTCCAATGTGTCCTTTCAGATTAAATTAATACTCAAAATCATTCAACCAGTTCCTCACAAACTGGAAGCGATCAGCTAGCTCCGAACCTAAATATAAACATATCAAGTTTAGTTTCAGTTGATGTAAAAAATATACATAAATGTCGTCAGTGATTAGATTGTATTTGGTTTTTGTGCAGTGCAACATTGATGGAGAAAATAAAAATGGCGATCAAGTGTTTGTGTCAAACCTTATAGAAATCCAACGTTGTCAACCATTATCTATAAGACCCCCCCCCCCGTCCATCCATCTAATGTCGTCTTTAACCTAAAATCCCCTCTCGGAGACACCAAACCAAACAATTTTAGTCCCGCTTTTCTTTGTTCTCCGACAACGGAGTCTAAACACTTTTATTATTGTGAACCCATTTCAAAAGTTAAGCAAAGAATATTTTCATATAAAGAATTAGTGACTTTCGTTAACAATTAATTGTCATTCTTTTCAGAAGTTTTAATATATAAAAAAAAACGTCTTAGGACTCTCCGACGGTTTTAACCTACAGATCCTTAAATAGATCGTAAGAATCTTTTCATTATAAAATTCGTAAACCATTGTAATAATTTATTTATCATTATACATTTAATTTTTTAGGAAATAAAAAGTTTCTCTGCATTATCGATTTTTGATTTGAGTGTTACCCCGTTGTCTAACTGTTCATTATTGAGAATCTTGCTGCTATTTGACAACATTTCGATCTATGGAAGCGTCGAAGTTCCAAGAAAGCCTCGAGATGAACCCAACTACTCCTCTCCACAAGGATACTCTCACTTTCGAGATTAATCCAACTACTCCTCTCCACGAGGATACTCTCACTTTCGAGATGAACCCAACTACTCCTCTACACGAGGATACTCTCACCTTCGAGATGAATCCAACTACTCTCCACAAGGATACCTCTAATGGTCAATCTCCTGAAACCCCTCATCAGAAAGTTCAAAGATGTACAAGAAACACTCCCTGAAAACTACCAGGATGCATGATCTGTCAAACTCCTACCAACCATGTCTTCAATCTAGACAAGGAACCGAGCATCGACGAATCCAGCTCAACACCCCTGCCCTCCATCAACCCCTCTCAAATCCCTACCGATCATCTCATCCTACTGTTCACCCACAGGTTTCGTACTTTAATCCAGCAGAAGAATTTTGAAGTCATAGAAAGTACCAACATATTGCTTCAGAAAACACTCAAGTCAAACCTTGATTTCCATATGTATGACTGCTCCGCCCTCGAGGCCGTCTACAAGACCGCCTTGGACCTCCTTGGCACCCACGTCACCACCTCCTCCACCAAATCTGACCCTCTGACCAATCCAGGGTCATCTACTAAACCGGACTCTACTACCAAACTTGGGTATCCCACCAAACCAGACTTCTCAAATGCACCTGAGTCTCCAACCAATCTAGACCCTCTGTCCAACCCAGGGTGTCCAACCAGCCCAGTCAAACCTGACCCTCCGATTGTACCAAATCCTTCAAATGAACCAAGCTCTCCTACCAAACCAGGTTCCTCAAATTCTCTGGTTTCCCCAACCTATCTTAACCCTCCTATTGAACCAGGCCCTCCGTCCAATCCAGGAGCTTCGACCAACCCAATCCAACCGGATCCACCGACGTACCCTAACCCTCTTATTGAACCAGACCCTATGTCCAACTCAGGGTCTACAACCAAACCAGGCGAACTTGTTTCTCCAACCGATCCCAACCCTACTATTGATCCTGACCCTCTGTCCAATCCAGGGGCTCCAATTAACCCACTTGAACCTGGTCCTCCAACTAATCCTAACCCTACAACCAATCCAGCTCATCCAATTGATCCTGACCCTCCGACCAATCCTAACCCTCCAACCAACCTGAAGTCCCCAACCAACCCTACTCCTATTGAACCAGACCTTCTGTCCAATCCAGGGGCTCCAACCAACCCACTCGAACCTGGTCCTCCAACTAATCCTAACTCTACGACCAATCCAGCTCATCCAATTGAATCTGACCCTCTCGCCAAGCCGGTCCGACTCATCGGGCCTGATCCCCAACTAACTCGGATCCAATCCTACCGCAGGCTCAAGCAACTATTCGCGGAAGAACGGAAAACTGCATGGAAGCAAGGAATCTAGCTCCGGGACCAAGCTCACTGCTACAATAGACCCGGAATGAGTTCCACGCAAATCACACCGAAACTGACCATCAGAATTGCATTCTAAGCTCAAACTAAAACTCCACCCGGAACTTGAAGAAATCAATCAATAGAGCTATACCCAACATCAACGCAGGAAACAACTATTTGAACATTTCAATTTTCTTAGAACACAAAACAGGAAACAATTTAATTTAAATAACTTAAAATTCCTTAAAAAGAAATAAACCTTAAATTTATGGTCCTTGTTATTGACACAATTATTCGCATTTCTGTATTTAATTAAATAATGGTCTTTTCTAGTTTAATTATTCCCTTTATCTTAGCTCTTTCATTTAATTTATGTTCAAGATTTCAGCCCATTCTCAGTTTACATATTAATTCTATTTTTTTCTTTCTTCCTTTAAATTATTTTAACAAATAAACACAGGAGAATGTGCGTCACGATTTCAACTTTACTTCACTGCTTTAATCTCATAAGTTATCATTTGTTGAATTGTATTAATTAATGTACCTCTTAATTTACTTCTGTTTATTTCAATCAATCGATCTAGTACCTATCAATCATTCAAACTACTTATTTCAGTATATTGTTAATGGTTTTCCTTTGATTCTTGTATGTTACCATAACATCCTCGAACCCTGCCTGGGGCCAGTGTCAACCATTAACTAAAAGACCCCCCCCGTCCATCCATGTAATGTCGTCTTTAACCTAAAATCCCCTCTCGGAGACACCAAACCAAACAATTTTAGCCCCGCTTTTCTTTGTTCTCCGACAACGGAGTCTAAACACTTTTATTATTGTGAACCCATTTCAAAAGTTAAGCAAAGAATATTTTCATATAAAGAATTAGTGACTTTCGTTAACAATTAATTGTCATTCTTTTCAGAAGTTTTAATATATAAAAAAACGTCTTAGGACTCTCCGATGGTTTTAACCTACAGATCCTTAAATAGATCGAAAGAATCTTTTCATTATAAAATTCGTAAACCATTGTAATAATTTATTTATCATTATACATTTAATTTTTTAGGAAATAAAGAGTTTCTCTGCATTATCGATTTTCGATTTGAGGGTTACCCCGTTATCTAACTGTTCATTATTGAGAATCTTGCTGCTATCCGACAACAAACGTATAGAAACAGCTACGTATAGCAACAAGGCGTATTTTCTGGGAGAACATTTTTAATATTTTTGAGAAATTAAACGTTTTTGTAAAACATTGTAGCTTATCACTATCATTATCATAATTCCTAATTTTTTAACATACCCTAGACATTAAAGGAGCAAAATAGTTTAATGTGTACATTTGTACTGATCTCTATTGTGGTTAAAGTCCCCCAGATTTTATTATGTATTGAAAACATAAATTAATGATTATATGGTTATACATAAAATTGCTTGTTAATATAAAAAAATTATTTTATAAAAGTGCTATCTACAATTTTATTTTTAGAAAAAAAATTCTTATAAGTATAAAAAAAAGTTCTCCAGTAATGCTAATATGATTTCATAAAATGTTATTTAATTTCTCAAAAATAGAAAAAATGTTCTCCCGGAAAATACCCCTTGTTGCTATATGTAGCGGTTTCTATACGTTGGATTTCTATAAGGTTTGACTCCCAAGTGGTTATTTGAAAATCATATTTTTATAAGCTAAATGAGGTTTTTTATCCAAATTTACAAAACTCAGTTTTATGATTTTGAAAGGCTAATCTTGGCTTAAATTTTGCACATGTTTCGCTTATTTATATAAGTAGTTATAAGTATTAGTAAAGTTGGTTATCAAATAAATATTGAAGTTATTGAGTAAATTATTAAGTAATTATTAGTTTATGAATTAGAGGATGGTAATAAAGAAATTTGGTAACCTTTAACATCTGAAGTGAATTCTCCAAAGTGCACATCTATTTCTGAGGGAAAATATATTTTTTTTTGGACAATTGTCAGTTTATAAAACTATTTTTATTATTATCATCATTTAAAAATAAATTACATACTTATGCTTATTAACTTTTATAGAGCAATTTGTGGCAATTTGTAACAATTTGTAAATTTCATTCTCATTTAGGATTTTAAAGTAGATTGAATAATATTTTGAGGTTGTATTTGTTACTAGAACTGAATCACAAAGAAAATATTTTCATAATTTTAACGATCTAACGACGCTACAGTATAAGCAAGTATTACAGAAATCCACTAAAATGTATTTAAATATCAGCAAATTTAATTTTATTCTATCCAGTACTAAAGAACATTTGGATTTATGTAAAAATTCATGATTTCACAATGCCAACTCCATCTGGAGTCTCAAATTCTACTTTTTCCGAGGATCATTCATCATCTTTCATTATGGCATGCTGGAAGTCGATGGTGGCCATTTTGAACATTTGGTACATAAAAATCATGTTAGCGGTTTTTTTTGTTGTAAATTTTCTATTGTAAAATGTAAAATGTAAAAAGTTCATGTATTTTTATTTTTGATCCCTTTCTTAAGTCAACCTTTGTTGCAGTAATGCATAATCATACTGTAGCGTCATTTTTGCTATATAGAGTACACAATACACAAATATATATATAAAGAGATTTTATTTGTAAAAACACACGTATATCACGTAATTTAGGGTTATTTTTAGCCTTTTAAGATGCCGCAGGATTCAAAAGTTGGCGGGCGCTACTGCAGAAGTTTTAAAAAAATGCATTTAGTAAAAAGGCACAAAGTTTACCTATAGACCAAAGCCAATTGTGCATTTTTGCAACTACTTAAAAAAAAATCATCGAAATTTGCTTTAAAGAAAACTTTTTTCACAGTTTAGTTTTAAAGAATTTTCGTTTACAAATTATTATGTCAGAGTTGACTATTTAGATTTTAAAATTGTTTGAAATGACTTACCTAAACTATCACACCATTCCTGGCCTGCTTGTTTTCGTCGCAATTTGTTAATACAAACCTATGGAAATGATTTTATATTGTTATCTATCCACTTATATAAACTAACTAGACCTGAATTGCACGGTGTTGCCCTTAAAAAAAATGGAATTTTGAAGAAAAAAATTGGTTTGGAAAAAGCATTTATTTTTAAAAAGGATAATCGAAATATTTAGCTTTTTAGATTACTTACAGTTGGTACCCATGGGTTCCCTAAAAAAATGTCATCCTATTTTTTCCAGTTATTTGGCCAGCTAAAGCTAACATTGACAAATATATTTAAGTGAAGAACTTTATTATAAAGATAATCTCTGTATCTCTGTCTAGATTGGTTGATTGTCCGATCAGAACTCGTAAACCTCATAACCGATTTGCCTCAAATTTGTATCAGGAAACTCAAAAGAACTGCACGGAACTACGGAAAAGAAATTTTAAGTTTAATTAATTTTGCAGGAAAAATTGGGTTTCCAAGCGAGCATATTTGTTTGTATTTCCCATCAGTTTTTAATATAATTCATTAGGGCGTAATTTCAAGTGACCCTCCATTTTTTGTGTTGGCTGATACTAATATATTTTCGCAAACCATCCCTTTAAATATAATTTAAACTTTAGTACAAACTGAAATGTCGTCTTTTTCTGACCTGAAGCACTTCCGGTTTATCCTTAAACATGACACTCTTGTTGAAATACATTTTGTGTAGCACTTGCTTCACAAGATTGAACCTTAGTCCTGCAATAATGATAATGATGTTGATAATAAGAATAATATTGATGATTATAATAATAATATAATAATAATAAAAAAGATAATGATAATAATAATAATAATAAAAATAATAATAATAATAATAAAAATAATAATAATAATAATAATAAAAATAAAAAAAATCACATGTGATTACATTTTGGTTGGAATAGCACAAAAAATTGATCTGATTAATTTTAAAGCTATTTATGAATAAAAAAGAATTTGATTTTTCTGTGTAAGACTTTTCTTCTTAGGATTAGATATATACATCATTGTTTTAGATTGAAAATGATGTACAATATATTATTTCTTATATTCACAATCCCACCCTCGCTCTACCTGTTTGAGCCTCTGGCTCTGCTATCCCCCCCTCTGCATCCCTGTTCATCCAACATTGGTTGAGAATATCTTTCAGCTTCTTACTTAGTTGATCTCCAGACTAAACATATATCATTGGTTGATTTATTTACCTCCTCTTTGTCATATGTTGTTAGGTAAGCTCGGATATCTAATCTGTTTACTACGATATTTATTACATGTATATATTGAGATATTTACCTCCTCTTTGTCATATGTTGTTAGGTAAGCTCGGATATCTAATCTGTTTTCAGTAATCATAGTTATCTTGCAAACCTTTAGTCTAAAATATATATTTTATTAATATATATATTTCCACAAACTCTGATTTTTTAATCGCTATATCTTTGCAACATGTCGTAGACCTCGGATATTTAATTTTTTTACAATGTTAGGTCTCCATGTTAAAATTTATTATGAGGGGAAACTTTTTTGTGCAACAATCTTTTTTATTCTAACTTACTTGTTTGTTTGAACTGACTGTACAAGAGGTTCACTAGAAGAACCAGAACTGGACTACAAAAAAAGTTTATAAATGTTTTTTTTTTAACATTCACTTGTTTTAAAACAGTAATTTTATATGTTCCTTCGTAAAATTAAAAATGCATTAAATATTAAAAAATGAAAACCTCCTGAATGTTAGTTTTCTTGGAACTGCCTAGTGGTCCTCTATACGCCTCCTCCCCCAAAACAATACTTTAACAAAAAAAATGGTCCTTCAACATTTTTTATGAAACTATTGTATAATTTATTACTCATGGTCACTTCTTTCAATTTAAACACGCTAAAAAGTAATAATCGTTCTATATATTATAGTCGGTCAACCCGAGTAGACATGTGTGTGTTGCTCCAGATGGCTAGTTAACTTGGAATTCGACCCCTTGGAAAATATGTCAAACCTGTCACTCTGAACTGTTAACACAAACATAAAAAACAGCGAATCTTCTTCTTTCCCTAGTTACTCTTAAAAAAGTACTGTGCTCCATCAATTAACAGTGAAGATTTATCAGTGCTTGATTCATCACTAAAACGTAAACTGTCTCCTCTTCACCATCATATATCAAGATGTACCAATCCAGAGATTTAGAAACATTAGGAGACCAGCTCCCCATTCTTCTTACAGAATTCCTGGAAGAAAACAAAGAACTGTTTGCTGATGAGAAAAAACAGCATTCAAAAGGTTTTATCTCCCATCCTAATAAGACCCCCACAGAACTCAAACATCTAAAAATAATTTTGAGGAAGAAAGCCTTTTCCAGAGCCGGCACTGATGAGGACAGGTAAAAGTTCCATTCCTGTCTGAAAGCACTTAGTGAGCTTAGAAAAGTTGAAAAAAGAATACTCCTTCTCAAAACTACTCCACAATCAAGAAAAAATGTTTCACAAAACAGTTGGGAATTTTCTGAACAAGCTGTCAAGGGATCATTACTACAGGAGAAATTGAAACCAACCTTTGACCGGGATTTGCAAACACCTACTACCCAGAAAAATACAGCACACACAGTATCATAGACTTAGACATAGAACTGTTTAAACTGGTTCCCCTTTGTGTCAATAACTCATGAATCTCCAAATTTCCAACCATTTAATTGTGAGCCCCTACACCCAAAGGATGTAAAATATATAATAAAAAGTGCGAATATAAAATCCTCTCCAGGTTCTGATGGTATCCCGTGCTGTCATCATACCACATTTTTAGAAAACGAAAAACACTAGACTGGGACCAAGAGACTCCATTTCTCAAAACCACTTCTGAATAACCAAACTATACTAATGCTAAGTCTTGTATGGCACCTATTTTTTGGCAAACCCTGTCAATCAGGAAATGCGATATCCAGATAAAAGAGTATTATTACTAAATTGTTATAAACTTTTATATTGTTTAATGTAATTTTGCTTTAAAGACATATATTAATGATGAATATATATATATATATAGCACTTGCTACTACCTATTTATAACACTATTATTTTGGTTCGCAGAGCTATAAAGTTTTGTAAAGAAATTTTTCTTTATCGAGATGGTAAACGCCTTTTTAGATATTATTTTGTCCAGAGCTTTAGCAAGTGACAAATAGAGTAACCCTGTAGTTCTACTTTATTCTAAACTAATTACCTAGCAGTCAGCTTTTCAGGTTTAAAGTCCAAATGCACAATTGTAAATCCTTCTGCTTCCTCATTTATACACGTAAACCCATCATCTTTCAAACATTTTACCATTCGGGCAGTTCTGGTGGCACTGAGCGAGGTGCTCCAATATCCTCTAAAAAATTATTTTAAAAAATTCACTTTAGTATTTTTGAATTATTTGCCCCCCACGATCTAAAAGTTGCATGACCCGAGCTGGTACAACATGTACTTTATATGCACTGTATACTGTACTGTCCAGTCTGGACTAACCATGGAAAAGTCGACCCAGCACGTTTTATGCAACAAATGTAGCCTGGCAAGTACTAGTTTGAGCTACTTACTCTAATTTTAAGTCTTTCAGGTCTTTATGAAGAACTCGACCGTTCCTGATCGGTATTTGGAAACTAAACAAACAAAGATAATTAATCGTTAAAAACAGAAGAAGGTCAAATCGCTGGTACGAATTTGTGACCTCGAATATCGTAGATTATAAATTCATAACAATTTTTTCTTCTAAATGTTTTATAATTTCAATCTTACTTGAAATTACTTTAGTTCAGGAGAACTGGACACTTGCCAAAAACTTCAATTCTCTAGGCATCATATCTTTGCAACCTGAGGAGGCTTTTGATATTTCAACTGTTAAATTTATGCAATATCTAATTAATAAATTTTGAAAGGCTTACACCATCAGGCTCCAAAGATTCAAAGATAAGAAAGTTATAGTTTGTAGCAAGTGATCAGTTCTGTTCTTTCTGTAGATATATGGAAATATAGGGACTGTTAGTTTATTTTCAAGTGGCCCTCCATGCAAAGAGGGCTATGTCCGATTTACAATGGTCCAGCCTTAGACGCTTTGTCTGATCAATTGTATCTAGTAATTAAATATTCATGTTTTTGTTAATTTATACTTTTTATTTATTTTTGTGGTTTCCCTGCAAGAGGGACTGACGCACTTCTTTAATTTACAAGTAAATAAAAAGAAGCTTTATTAATTGACGGCTTCACTTTGTTTCCATGTTTTATTGTATCCGGATGCTGTTTAAAAGCTTGATATAAATCAATATTTAAGTCGAAAGTCGTCTTCATAATATTGATGATATTCGCCTTTAAACCTTAAACCATGGCAAAGAAAAAATTAGGAAACCATTGAGAGAAATTGTTTTGTTCTCACCTTTCCGCAGCCTGAGATGCACCCACAATCTTGAACATCTCCTCTCCCAAGCTAATTAATACAAGTTCAGGTTTTTCTATTTATTCCGTTTCAGTGTAGTTTTTGACTTGTAAGTGACCTGTAAGTAAATTCCGTGGTCGACGCCATTTTTGCCTCCAGAGAAGAGGTAAATACATTTTTAACCAGCTCATCATTGAAACCTTTAAACATTTAATTTTACTTTTAAATAATGTTTTATCTTAATATCAAGACAAAAATTGGAAACATATTATCTAAATATGAACAATAATATATTTAAATATAAAATTTAAAAAAACTTTCAACGTAATTTCGTTCCCTATTTGAAAAAAGTGGCTTGTTAGATGCACATTAACTGTACACTTAAAAAATTATTTTAAAAGTATGTAAATACGAATTAAACAAAAAATCCGCGAAAATTATTGTTATTAAATTTTATGCTTATGCTGCTGTTTTCAGATTAAAACCCCCGTTAACTGAACTTTTCAAAACTTCAATTTTAACCTTATACTTCACCTTGCATGAAAGTTGGCTGAGGCCTGAGATTCAAGCCATCAAGACTTAGTTCAGGGGCTTCACGTGGGCTTTCAAGATAAACATTTGCAACTTATTTTTCATATCCAATGGGTGATATAAAAAAATCCTCATCCTGGGAGAAACATTTTCTTCCTTAAAAAGAATTATATATAATTATGTTCAATTCTGAAAAAGCGCGCTAAAGTTTAGTTTAAATAATTAATCATGTTTGGCAGAAAGTTTGAAGAAAGATGATGACATTAATACCCTTATAAAGCGATCACCCCGTCCGCCCTACTGTTCAATAAGGATATCTAGCTCCTCACCCAGTTTGGCTTCTACTAGGCAGAACGTAACTCTTGATTTTCTCTCTAGCATTCATAATGAACAATGAGAAGCGTAGAATGAATTTATTTGATGAATAATCTAATAATCCATCTTTCATAAATCAAACAATATAACAGACACTCATTCCTTGGTATCGTATCCGACATCATCTTGGATTTAGCAGCTCAGCAGGACTTGCCTGAGTAGACAGCAGTGCCGCCTGCAAACTCTGCAGAATCAGCTAAACATACTAATCTTATCTTGGACCGGGATACACTATAACTGGGTAAGAAAAATCTAGGTATTTTTATCTCTGGACGGTCAACACAACCCTTCAATATCTCCTTCCAGACCACATAATCTTCCTCAGGTAGTAATTCCTCCCATTCTTTACCTTTCATTCTTCTATTAAATAACTTAATAATGAGCTTCACAGGTTCTAAAAACCACAAGTATCAAAGAACTCAGATATCTTTCCAACTTTTATACTCCAGATCACTTGCACACTGGTCAATAATTTCTCAGCATCTACTATCATCTTCACAAGTTCACAAGTTAGGTTTCTTTTCCCCTCTTTGTTTCTTGTTTAGGCTTAATTCACCCAGTCCCGGAGATGATTCATCCTGCACCGAGTCCCACTTATACCTTAACAGTTTCATAGTACCTCCAAGTCCTCCTTCAGCTTTCTCTGAGGATTTCTCTCCACTTTTGATTACAAATATCATAACGGACCAGGTGATCTCCTCGAACCAGGAGATCTCATCAATTCAGGAAATCTTAACAAACCAAGAGATCTCGAACCAAAAGAACACATCAGACCAGGATATCTCACAAAACCAGGAGATCTCTTCAAACCAGGAGATCTCATCAAACCAGGAGATCTCATCAGGCCAGGATATCTCACAAGACCAGGAGATCTCTTTAAATCAAGAGATCTCTTCAAACCAGGAGATCTTACAGACCAGGAGATCGCATCAGTTTCAGAGGGTTTAGTGGGTCAGGGTGGAGAGTGTGTGACAACTGTTTTCGTTAGATTACTGAAGTTAGGCACACTTGTCCGCCAGTAACTGGATTGGTGTCCAGACTGGTGTTCACAGGTTTGATTCCCATACTCCAGAGAAACCTGTGGTTTCAAAAACATCTGAAGCTGACATCTAGTTGAGCAGTTATGACCACCTAATGAATGTAGGGGGACAGAGGGGCAGTTGTCAACAACTCCCACAGTAAAAGGATGCATGCTTTCTAATCAACAAGAAAGAAACTTTATATGGATGGGTCCAAGTGTATGATGAGGAAGAGAGGAATGGTGAACAAGCAGGGAGAGTCTATGGTTGCTAGCTATAGGTATCTGGGGGCATCCAATCCGGGCTTACAAAGGATAGGGAGCAATGCTCGTGTGAAGTTTCCTATCTGTATTGCACCCAGGCCTCATTCCTATATATCAGAAAAATTGCTGCACTCTATTATTCTCAGGCATAAGCGTTTTTAAATGGGTTTAAGGTACTACTCAAGCAACCCCTTCCCCTTCAGAGTTAGAGCGCTTCCTCCCCCTTCCCTGCATATCAGAAATTTGCGAAGAACGACTCATACCGAAGAACCTAGTGCCATACAAATTCGTAAAGTTGCAACATTCGAGTAACAAGTATGATTAGTAGCGATCACTATCGATAATTTTTCGCTGTAAGCCCCATTTTTTGCGAACACACCCTTTAAAAGTTTAAAATATTATGAAACCCTTAATAAAAAAACAAAAAATATTTGTCAATTTTTTTGAGTTTTTTTCTAAACGCCCTATATTTTTTTTTTATAAAAATCTATCTTATTTAAAACTTCATTGATATCTAGCAGAACTATAAAACAGAAAAGGAAGACGACTGTTAGACTGCTGTTTGAAATAGTCCAATACACTACACATGACACACATCAACTGAGGAGTTTACACATTTTATCTCTATATATATTTAAAGTTGTAATCTCTGCTTGTCTGTTTGTTTGTATGTCCAATCATAACTCAGGAACCTCTTGACCGATTTGCCTCGAATTTTGATTGGGAAATTTGGGAGAACCGCGGGAATGTTCTAATCTTGGTTTTGAGGTACTAAATTTGAGTGGGTATACTTTAATTTAAAGGGAAAAATGGCTCTAACAAAAAATTTTCGGGATAGTGGGGTAAAACAGCAGGAGTAACTACGAGTAACAGCTGGGCAATGCTAGGTTCTCAAGCTAGTAACAACATACATATCTTTAGCCTATTTGACTGATTTATGGGTCTCACTGTATTATGGGGGTAAGCCATATTCTAGGTAATGCTAATTAACTGTGATCTGTTTTTTCGATCACATTTATTCTTGAAATTCCTGATGGATTTAATCTGGTAAACTTCTTTCACCAGGCATCCTGGCTCCTCTTCATCTTGTAGAACTAGGCAGAGAGAATACTAACAGTTCCACATATAAAAACTTAGATAGGATTTTAAAAATTTCAAAATAATTTCAGAAAACTTTGATTAAATCGCATACAATCTCATAAAGAAGCTCTTGAAGTTTTAGAATTATGAATAGCTTATACTCGAGGGTGTAATTGGGGTTGTAAATCGTTTTGAAAACGTTCCAATTAAACAAACGTTTTTTGTTTGGGTTTTAGATCGCTTTCAAAAACGATCATTTCATTTTTGGCAAGAGATCGTTTCTAAAAACGACCCAATCATTTTGAACTTTTAGAAACGAATAACGATTGCTTTTGAAAACCATCATTTTTATAAAAACGAAAAGGGACCGTTTTGTATACAATTGATTTTTTAAAAAGGATTGTTTTTGAAAAAAAAATTGTCGTAGATAAATATGTTAATGATTGTTAAATGAAGGGTTGTCGTTAAGGATTGTTAACGAATGGTCGACATTAATGATCATTAAGAAAACAATGAACCTTATAAAAAAACGGTCGCTTAAAAAAAGACGATCGATTTTGAAGAAAAAATTGTCATTGGTAAATATGCAACTTTTTCGAATGTCGTCTTACATGCAGGTGAATGGTAGTGGGGGAGCTAAAACTTCTTGATATTTTCTTTAAAACTACTAAATGATAAGCCCTTCAGGTCAGTTTCCTCTCTCTCGTTTTGTTAACAAAGGTGTTAACAATCATTAACAAAGGGTAGTTGTTAAAAATTGTTAACTGAATGACGAGATCTATAAAAAACGATTGTTTTAAAAAGAACTGTTTTTAAAAACGAAATTTTTAAAAAACGATTGTTTTGAAAAAGATCGTTTTGTTTTTCGGTTTTTTTGTCGTCGTTTTCATAACGAAATAATCGTTTAAAAAAATAAAAATAATCCTGGGTGTAACACGTATTTTTGTGATGAAATTTGTGAAAATTTGGAAATTATCTTTTAAACGAACTAAAGATGTAATTTCAAGTAACCAACCATTTATAGAACATGGCTTGTCCAATTCACAACGGTACCCTTAAAAGCTTCATCTAATCAAGAATGAATGATATCTTTTTTCAAATATAATTTTGGATTCTCTATAAAAGCCACGTTGGGATTTTTGCTTTCCGAAATAATAGTGTTAATTGTAAGAATTGAACACTTTTTCAGCTAAAAACAAAGATAACTTCATCATCATTGATCGGATAAAGGATTATGAATCAGGCAAATCACCCTGAAAGTGGAAGGTACAGGGTGTCCCAAAAAACATGGGAATTCAGTGACGAATTTGATATCGTCTTTGTTATGCATTAGCATTGTAATACCTAATTTCAAAAGCCATAGTATTATTATGTCTGTAGAGTTTATTTTATGAAAAGGGTAAATGGCTGTAAAGATATTGTATTTGCAAGATGAACAGTGAAGACTGACAAGTTTACTTTGTTTGTGTACTGTAATTTTCTTGTTTTACTAACCGTATGCAGTCAAAACATAAACAAACAAAATGTGAACATAGCAGACGAAACTCTTACAGATTACAACTTTCTCAGTAGGTATCACTATAGTAAATCAAAGAATTATTTGAAAAGACGATATCCAATTCGTCACTGAATTCCAAATTTATTGGGACACCCTGTATTTAAAATTACAATGACAATCTTTTTAAAATGCATGAGAAAACCTTCAGAACAGATTACCTTGGGGGGATTCTTTTGCAGTGTAGTCTTTCTTATGTTTAAATCTAAAATTCGGAAAATTGATGAAATTAAGACCCGGCCACAGCTGTTTATTAGAGTTTAAAATTATTAATAAGTAAATCTGCTTACCCAGTTTCATGTCAGCATTCTCATGGGCCACTCCTTCCCAAAGAAACAGAACCCTAAATAGTATTTCAGCATAAAAGCTAATAAAAAATTCTAGTAGCGGGGAAAAAAATTAATCCTCAACAAAATAAGTGAATGTCATTGCGATGTTAGGTATAAATTGGATACAAATACGTCAAATAATATCATTATGATGACTGAAACATTCAAATCAAAGTTTTATTAAATTGACATAATTTGAGGATATTTTACATCACTCTGTCAGAAAATGACGTCCTATTGAAATTAAAGGGTGTACGTTTTTACATTAATTTGATGTCTTTTTGTGATGTCAAAACGACGTTGAACACTCCAAAAAGATGTCAATTTGATGTTATTTTAATGTCCGTTGTCTTGCTGGGTTACAAAGAAGCTGTTTAAGCATTGATTGGGTGTATCATGGTGTTCACCTCTGATTGGCTAAAGAAAACGTTGAGAAAACATTATTATTTTATTCTTATTTTGCGGGAAATACAGGGTGTCCCAAGAAACATGACTTGAATATCGTCTTGATTTTTGATATAATTTGCTGCATTTATTTGTCAACCTAATCTTAGAAGTAAATCTCTAGAGATAGTAATCACAAAATTCCCCTAGTCCTGCCATTTCCAAAATGTGGTCTGCATTTTTTGTGCTTTCAACATTGCCCGAGATATGAACAATTTCGTTCAGATTTCGACAATTTTGCTTTTATTTAACAAAATTTAAATCTGAACCAAACTCTTTATATCTCCGGTAGTATTGAAAGCACAAAAAACGCAGACCACTTTTTGGAAATGCCAGGGCTAGGAGAATTATGTGATAATTGTTTCAAGAATCATGCACGATAAAGTAGATAGAAGACTAAATGACACAAATAAATTCAAATATCAAAGACGACTTTCAAGTCGTCTTGCTATTGTCATGTTTCGTGGGACACCCTGTAAATGAAAATACACTTCTTGATTCAAGGGTGTATATTTTCCTAAAATCATTCCCCCTCACCCTCTTTTGAAAATCTTTTTTTCCATAGAAGTTAGATACTTTTTAGGGGTTTATGCGCTGAATTGTAGAAAATAAATGATTTTTAGTGGACAAATATTTGGGCAAAGAGTATGAAAAAAGATGAAAACATATACATTTCCGGGGAAGAAAGTTCCAAACAGTGCTTAATTCCAAACCTGACACTCAGTGTCAGGTCTGGGCCAAATCACGGTTTGAAAATTTCTTCCCCTGCCTTTCTTGTCTGGAGAATACCTAGAATTTCCAAAGAATTTTTTGGGCGTTTTTTTCTCCGTGTAGAGAAGTGAATTGACACGATCTTCTACTTTGTTCACAGAATCTTCGTTTATTCCAACTATAGTCAGCATATTGTATCCATCTGGTCCAGGTCCATTCCTGACAAATATTTTAGATTATCTTTTAAAGGGACTGCACATATAATTTCAAGTGGTCTTTGTTAAAAAAAAAGTTACATGCTTGATTCACAATGGAACCCTTAAATAGTTTATCCCAGTAGAATTGAGGAAGATTTTTGTTATTTTGTCGCTAATATGGAGAAATCGCAATTGAAAAATTATAAATTTAAAAAAAAAGAATACAATTTTCCAAATGGAGGGTCACTAGACACTCTCTTTAAGAGTTTATATAGATTCAGAGGAACCATTGTGAATTGGACATGTCGCTCTTTTACATGGAGAGTCACTTAAATAACGTCAACATTCCCTTTAACAGAGATTCCTTGAAGCATATATGTTAACAATACAAACAAAATACTAGATGTCGTCTTTTCAAGACTTAGGGGTTTTCCGTTCCTGAGGCAGAAGCCCAAAGGAGTTCGGCACAAGCAGCGCTGAATTACAAGACAGAGAGAGAGCCTGCACGTAACAATTCCTTTGGGCGTCTGCCTCAGGGTTATTGTGAACGAAAAACACCTAAATCTTGAAAGGAAGACATCTAGTGTTACATTTTGCCTTGGAGAATAGCAAGAGTCAAGACAGTTCAAAAATTGATTTGATTTTTTTTCTTAATTTTCTTTTTAAAAAATATAAGGGCCTTTTAAGCATTATCTGTTGAATCTATGAATAAAAGGTGAGAAAAACATAAATACTTTTGGATAGGGCTGGGCAAAGTTACGTTAATGAAATGGAGCATTTCGAAAATTAACAGAAGAGTCTGTAAATGAACAGCAAAAACCGTTGATCTTTAAATCGTTAACGAAACAAATTAGTTTTTTAGTTAACGGTTAAAAACGTTAACTAAAAGCTTAAAATGGTAAATTTCTTTTTTTTCTGATTAAAAATTGCATGAATATTTGTTTTAAATTAAAAAATTTTATGCGTTTTGATGTTTTAAAATGTCGTCTTCTGTGTTTATAAAATGTTAACAAAATTTTAATTGCCGTAAAGGCCATTAATACTGTAATATACCGTTAACAGCTGTGCCATTTACAATTTTTTTAACCGTTAACAAATTTTTTTCGCCACTTTGCACCGTTAACGCTGTTAATTTTGTAATAATGGTACCATTATCAGCTATAAAGCACAATTGTTGAAAACTTTCGTTAACGCCGTTAATTAAAATGAGATAACTAACGGTAATTTTAAAAACCAGAAAATGGCGTTAACGGAACAAACGTTATGTTATTACCTTTATGATTAACGGCTAGCTGAAATTTTCATTTTTTAACGGTTGGAACAATAACTGTTAACGAAACGGCTAGAAAAAAATGGAACATGTCCAGCCCTATTTTTGGACCAACATTTTTATTGGACCGTTGAAGTTGACCACTCTTGAATAATCATTAATTTAAATAAATTTCCAACAAATGCTTTCCTTTCTGCATATTTCGAAACATCTAATATTTTTAACTGAAATAGTTAACATTTCAAATATTATATTTCTTAAAGGTACAGTCGAAGAAATATTCAATGACCCTTAATGTCCGATTTACAATGGTCCAGCCTTAGACGCTATTAACATTTCAAATATTATATTTCTTAAAGGTACAGTCGAAGAAATATTCAATGACCCTTAATGTCCGATTTACAATGGTTTCTTTTTTAACAATTTCTCTCATAAACAATGATGAAGATATCGTCGTTTTTTATTTCTAGAACAGAGATCAATTCTCTCAACTTTCTTCCCAGTCTTTGATTTTTAAACCTGCAAGCTTTTCAATAGTAAAACTACAATTTAAAATGTTTAATTTTCAGATGAATAACAAGGATATCTCTATAATTTCTTGACAAATTTTGATAAAAGTTAAAACGGTACCGTTGTGAATCAGACACTAGAAATTACGTAAACAGTCTCTTTAAACTGATGAATTGGCTCAGTTTTGTATATTTATATTTTTAAATAAAATGAATTATTCCTGTTTTTCATGATTAGCCAATTCAAAACTTACCTGGTATCAAAATGTACATTTGTAATTCCTAGTATAGATTTCAGATCCCTAAAATAAAAAATATCATTTAAGATTTTTTAAAAGTAATTTCAATTTATTTTGTATAAAAATATCAAAATACCTGATAGTAGCTCCTCGTTGTCCAATAATGAGACCAGTTTTATCACCCGGAATTCTCATAACCTGAAAAGATGAATCACTTTATTCACCCGGTTTAATTATGTATACTTGCTATTTTCATATCTCTAGTGATCACTTTATCCTCCCGGTTCAATTATATACCGGTTTAATAATTTTTACACCCTAGTGATCACTTTAACCTCCCGGTTCAATTTTATACCGGTTTAATAATTTTTATATCCTATAGTGTTCAATTTATCCTCCTTGTTCAATTATATACCGGTTTAATAATTTTTACACCCTAGTGATCACTTTATCCTCCCGGTTCAATTATATACCGGTTTAATAATTTTTGTATCCTATAGTGATCACTTTATCCTCCCGGTTCAGTTATATACCGGTTTAATAATTTTTATATCCTATATTGATCACTTTAACCTCCCGGTTCAATTATATACCGGTTTAATAATTTTTATATCCTATAGTGATCAATTTATCCTCCCGGTTCAATTATATACCGGTTTAATAATTTTTATATCCTATAGTGATCAATTTATCCTCCCGGATCAATTATATACCGGTTTAATAATTTTTATATCCTATAGTGATCACTTTAACCTCCCGGTTCAATTATATACCGGTTTAATAATTTTTATATCCTATAGTGATCACTTTATCCTCCCGGTTCAAATATATACCGGTTTAATAATTTTTATATCCTATAGTGATCACTTTAACCTCCCGGTTCAATTATATGCCGGTTAAATAATTTTTATATCCTATAGTGTTCAATTTATCCTCCCTGTTCATTGATATAACGGCGTAATCATTTTTATATCCTTAGTGATCACTTTATCTTCCCGGTTAAATTATATACCGGCGGACTTGATCCCTTCAAATCCTTTAAAAATGTATGGCCTAACCTAACTAGCTGGTCCAACCAGATTCAATAAAAGCAGTCTTTATTATTAGTTTATGTTCTAACCTTTGAAACCTTCTGTCTTGACTCCATGATAAGATTCTTTTTAAACTTTTATCTGAAAATAAAAATAGAAAATTAAAATTAAAATACGTTTTATAAAAGAACTTAAATTCCTTTTTGTTAAACTTGTGAAGACGACAACAGATGGTAATTTGTAAAATGTGTAACAAACTTTTAAAAATAAAGTTATTTCTTGTTTGATTAAAATCTTTTGTGTTTTTGATTATAATTCTCTTGTTAAAACATTATTTGATTAAATATAATTTATAGTAGGAAATACAGTTAAAGTTTTTAAATGTCTACAATACTACTTCAGCAGGGGTTTACTTTAAATTTAATACCCCCACCCCTTTCTTAATTAGCTTTGAAAACCAGTGGTGATTTATGAAAATATGAACCCTGGAGAGTGGAGATTGTAATATAATATGTTAATGTAAATAATCATAATTATTAATTTCAATATCAATTAAAGCACTCTAGATCAATAATTCATAATATATAAATAAACAATACAATGTTTTTTAGCATTTAAAATAAATTGCATTCGTTTGAATCACCCTTAAATACTTTCGGTAATTCTTGCAATTTTGTTATTTTGATGATGCATCAATAAATCACACTAATATTTTTCCTGTTTTATTACTTTGTCACATGCTTAACGCTTCATATAATTGGTAATCGATTTATGGACCCCCTCTCCTCCCTCCTATCAATTTATTACATTTTTATAATTGATTATGCGGCCGCATCACCCAGCGGCCGGCCCCTAGCCTGTCCTAGCCGCGGCGCTCGGCCCCCTAGCCTATTCTAGCAGCAGCGCTCAGCCA